CATCTTGTATGTAATTTCAAATGTGTTTATTTGAACATTTATTTTTGGTACAGTCCAGTTCTCCAGGGAATATGCTCGTATTGAATAGATCAATCATTGAAAGCTCATTACTGAACCACTAAGAAGCAGAAGCACATCCCCTGGCAAAGCATCTAAAACTACTGTATCCTCTTTTGTAGTAACTGTTAACCTGAATTTAGAGAGAAATCCATTGTAAGTTGTTACAATGGGTGCAAATCAGTATTAATCTCATTGTAATGTTACAGCAAGGATTTTAAATGTTGCGGTTTGTTTTCACGCCATCCCCCGTGCTTTTATTTTGAAGGCGCCTCGGCAGCAGCGCAGCACTTGTGTTCGCTCGAGCCTCCCCACTCACTCGGCTCGCGCTCACACACAGTCAGTGCTCGCGCCGCGGTGCGCTCGGTTTTGTCCGCCGTGTTCGTCGCTCGAGGCTCCGGCCCGGTGTCCGCCCGGCTCCCGCTGCTGAGACCCGTCAGAGAAATGTGCGACCCGTGTGCGGAGGAGGCGACAGACAGCAGCTTCAGTAAAACAGGTGGGTCCTCGGGTCGGTGTCGGTGCGGCTAACCGGCTAACTGCCGCAGCGTGCTAACTCGGCATCGGTATGAGACATCGTTTCCCGTCCGCCTCTAACGAAAGGTCGCCCTGTGGGTTAGATTACATGTAATTTCATCTGACTGCATCACACTCAGGCTCCTAATCCAGCATTTATTTTAGCTAATCAAGTATTATCGCTCATATCATCAAGGCTTTGGAGGCCAGCAAGGTGTCCTGCTATTTTTGAGACTGTAAACAGTAGATTAAAATACAGACTTTTGATGTAAATTGTGGTCTTTATGTCATGCTTGTGAATTGTTCAAGCTTTGTTTTACTGTATTATTTTCATTGTGAGTCAGTGTCTCTGTGCTAATGTTCAGTTTGCAGTGAATGCATTTCGCCTCATAGTGTTGTTATTGTAACAGGAACATTGCAGTGATATTAGAGGGTGTAGTATCAGTGCAGTGTAAGAGTTTGTGTGCTTATGTCAGTGGAAGATCTCTTTAATGTTGTCCAGTCGAGTGAAGGGAACATTTAATGATATTGATACTGGCTGACTAATTAGTGACCTAACATTAGTCACATTGGTCAAACTATAAGATCAACATTAGAACTGCATCGATGAATCAATTAGTTGCCTGCTGTTAAAGTATTCAGCAACTATTTGAGTAATTAGTTGAGAGAAAAGTCAAAATTTTCTGATTGCAGCTTCCTAGATTGTAATATTTGTGGTTTATTTTATCCTGTGTGACAGCAAACTGAAAATCTTTGGACTGTGGACAAAACAAGACATTTTAGGATGTGATTTTGGCCTTTGGGAAACACTGATCGACATTATTCACCATTTTATGACAACTAACCGACTAATAAAGAAAAATAATCAACAATGAAAGTAATCGTTAGTGGCAGTTGTTAACATCTTTCACAGCATGATTATTGTTCTGGTTAGCGAGGGACAAAATTACTAATCTTGATATTCACTAACTATTGACTTACCGTTGACCGCATTGATCAAATTCTAACATTAACATTAGAGCTACAACAGTTAATCAGTTAGTTGCCAACTATTAAATTCATGATCAACTATTCTGATAATTCTTTAACCAAATTGAGCAACTGTTTCAGAAAAGAAGTCCAAATTCTGTGGCTAGCTTCTTCAATTTGAACATTTCCTGTTTTTTGTAACCTGTATGTCAGCAAACTGAATGTCTTTGGGTTGTGGACACAAAAAGCCATTTAAGGACATCATCTTAGGCTTTGGGAAACACTCATTATTATTATTATTATTATTGCTGCTGATTATTATTGACCATTTTCTGACATCTTAGTTACATTACCAACAGATTTGCTCTCAGTTAACAGAAAATGATCATTAGTTGCAGGCCTTATGATTATGTCTGTGTAGGATCTTTAACAGCATTATTGTTGTCCACCAGGGTTAAATCTGATACTGGCTGGCTAATTATTCACACTGGTCACTTTGATCAAATTACAATATCTGCAAAGTAGTTTTGAATGCCCCTCATCTCAGACATACATAATGAACGTGTGTGTGAGAGAGTGTGACGTCACCAGTGTTGTCATGAAAGGGAAGGGTGCATTCTTGTGAGTCAGAACCAGCTCAACCTGGTTAAAACACAGCCTGATCTGCTCCATGTCTTCATGTCTCTAGTTGGGCAGATGGCCCGAGATAGGAAGCTGTGGTAACTCTGTTTTGTACAGACGGCCAGTCATGAAGGATCTCGTGTTTTCAACAGCTCTGTCCTTGTGACCTCCTCATCAGCTGCCAAGAATAAAATACAGAAACCTTTAAACTTACAATACAACATATCTCACAAGCGTTTGTTGGTGGAAAGGCTAACGTGTGTAAAAGAGACCAAAATCTTGCTTTAGTTTTCTCAGAGAAGGCCTGAGAAAGTATTAAGAAGTCTTGTATGTCTTTTGCAGAAGTCTTCATTGTTTCCGTCTCCCGGCTCTAGGCAATATTGTTAGTTAGTTATGATATGGTTTTGGTTATGGTTTTATATCCAGTTGTGGGCAGTTGGCAGCCGATGTACATCTATAAACTACAGGTGAGACTTGTGCAACAGTGGATTGTGCTGCAGGAAACCTGTAGCAAGCAGTAGATAGGAAAGTCATACACTTATAAAAGGAAAGTGTTTATTCTGAAACAAATCATTAATTCAACCATTTCTGTTGCTTAGCTGGTTTCAGGTCACAAGCACAGCAAACCATGGACTCATGTAACCTTTTGAAAAGTTCGATTCACACGTCCCCTTTGTTTCTACGGCAAGCAGATATTTTCATTGTCAGTTCGTTTGCACATTATCTCCTCGATTAATCATTTGTGCTACAGAATGTCAGAAAATTGTGAAAAATGCTCCGTACAATTTCCTGTGTTATCTTCAGATGTCTCTTTTTGTTCATCCAAAACAGTCCAGTGCCCCAAAATATTTGATGTTCACACTGGAGAAACTGAATTTAGAAAATGTTTGACAATTGTCATCTAATCAATTAATTGACTAATAATTCACCAACAGACTGTCAGTATGAAATGGTCTGAAACCGATCCAGTCTTAAACTATTGTGGGTGGAAATCGACTCTTGCATTTCAGTCCAGTATGTGATAAACAACAACCACAGACTGCATGCTGTTAACTTAACACTGTGATCTGGATGGTGTCAACAACGGAGAACTGTTGAGACAATCTGACAACATGCCTTAACAGTTGCCCGTCCTTGCTGTATTATGGTGTGTTCACTGTCAGGCTGGAGAAGAAATCTGTGATACTCTCTGTTTCTAGAACTTTGAAGGTCCTCTTGTGGTACTTAGATGGAAATTTGTGAATTTGTTGTACAGAGAATATTGATAGATGTACTGAAAACAAGGCTGTATGTATATAAGTCTTAATGGAATGTAATGAAGGTTCAGGCCTACTAGAGGTGCTGGCAGTGATGGCATTCGTCCATCTTTCAATCCATACATCTGTGTATTTTCAAAGCCATTTATCCTGTTTAGGGTTCAGCATAGTTTGAATGACAGTCAGTGTAAACCTGGACAGGTTTCCAGTCTAACACATACATAAAAACACACTGAAACCTAAAGACAAAATGTTGTTCTTAAAATGAAACGTTGGCTGTTAGAATCTGAACCTGGATTTTCCTCCTGTGAGGCAAAGTTAGTCTGAGGATGATTGTTTTTCCTGCATTATTTATTCAGTTTGTTGATTTTAGCTGTCATGTTTTAATAATTCAGTTAAACAAGTCAACCTCTTGCTAATTTACAGTTATATTCAGAGGAGGGAGATTCTGTTGTCGCTGCAAAGAGGCTTATTGGTCGGGATTTTTTTTTCCCCTCATTTTTCTGTTTGGCTTTAGTTAAGAGACACCAGTGTCCTTGGGGAAAATTACAGTTGGCTCTGTAATATACTGGCTCCTGCAGCAGCCAGGTTCACCTGCACCTCAGTCAGCCCGTGTGTCAGAGCCGCATCGACAAAGATCGCCTGCACAAAGGCGCCTCTGTTTGAGACACAAATTCAGGAGACATTTACCGGGGTAAGGCTGCACACAGGAAACCAAGAGCAGAGTTGCTTTATAATCCAGTCTTGACCTTTTTCTTTTTGAATCCAGTTTAAGACACCGTACGCCTCTGGTCCTGTTTGCGACAGAGAGCGACAGCTTCTGTTTCCTGGCTGAAATAGTGGTGGGATGGTTTGGGAAGCTCGGGGAGTGTGATTCTGAGACAAGATAAGCTGCTTCCAGACTGGTGTTTATTTTCCTGTGCCGGGATAATGTGAAATTTATCTTGGATGTTCTTTTAAACTAAAGATAACAGTGACTGTGATTATGTCTTGTTGTGAGTTTACTGGATCTGCAGTTTTTGTCTTTCTGTATGCTAGCACAAACTTGACATTGTTTTTTTTTTTTTGTGACATGTAGATTCTTATTGTTACAGTTCACTTGATCTCATCAGTGCTTTCACATGACGGCCGTTATCCCTAGTTTGAATTAGGGAGCACACCAGATACTTCAAGTCTCTGTGCTATGTTTAGAAACGGGAGACAAAAAGTGTAAAGCCATAATTTCAGTTTATCACGTTCTCAGCCTAAACCTGTTTATTGCACTGTCTGCTTTTTGATGTGTAATTAATCTGCAGCTGTACAGTGGAATGAAAATTGCGTTGGTGTCAAAGATTGTGTTTTGTTTTCTAATACCATGTGAATGATTACTATTAGGGGTGTTTTGGCAGCTGTTGGGGTCTCTGTGTGCTGTCATTTGTGGTAGAAGTAAAGCAGAGGCCTAACAGAGCCTAACAGAGGAGGCCCACAGCGACTGCACTGCCATTCTGGTTTGAACTGGATAAAACAATGCTTTTTTGTGACCACTTGACCAGCTATCCTTTTTCATCCTTTTCCTTTAGAGAGTTAGGTCGAGCAAACAGGGATGTACAGTTTTTTTTACAATTAATTTCTGGTTGATTTTCTGGAACTAAAGCAATGAGACCATGATGTTTTAATTTTTTCTTACACTTTAGTTTGTCCTGGCAAAATGCTATTCCATGTTACACTTAGTCACAGTAAGCTTTGAAACAACTGGGAAAAAAGTAAACTGCTTACACGGCTGTATTTACTGCATTACTCATGTGTTTGCTGATTGAGGAAGTAGCCTAGTTGTGGTCAATCAAGCATAAATTGGTGTATTCTGGAGTTGTCTGGTTTTCTTTTTTTTTTTTTTTTGTAGGGGTCAGCAGCAGCCTTATCTCCTTGATGGTTTTCACTTCCATTTTCTATATGAGTTTGCAAGTCATCATTAAAGTTGTTTCACTTGATCTAATTTTAGAATTCCTGCTCATTCTGATCATCAGTTTTTTTCACTGATGTTGTCAGGAAATTGGACTTATTCTTGTTTTTAGATGCTTAAGTGGGACTTAAATTAGCTTCTCAGGATAAAACTTAACAATGGGATCCTGAGGAAGGCACTGCTAGAACATGTTCATTCTGAGGAACTGCTGCATATCCGGACAGGTGGAGACACAAGGGCATGAGCGGACAGGGTGTGCTGTGTTAAGGTCTGTAGTCCTTTTGCTTCTGGCTTGCTCTGCAATCTCTTAACAGCAGTACGCTGTCGGCACATACAGGCTGATCAGGATATCTCTGATACACAGTGAGTATAATGACCGCCACGCTTGGTGTGTTTCCAGTCTGGTAACCTCCACTCTTGGGCTGTACTCTATATACTGATTGGGCTGCATGTATGGTGATGATAACAGTCAAGTCAAGCCGCTGTTTTTATTGAGTACATTTAGGATAACAGCTGTTGTGCCAAAGTACTTTCCAGTACCTACTTGTGTGTAGCATTTTATTGCTTTGCCTAAGTCTGAGCTTAGAAACAGGTGTTCATGTTACATTTTTGAAGTTATACTCATGCATTAATACTCTGTGTTGGCACTGAGTAAGGACATTTACTCTTACAATATGAGAAACACAGAGCTCAGCAGGGTTTTTAATGGCTCAAAATAGCCGAACGGTGGGTGACTATTATTAGTATGAACCAACTAGTTACTGTATGACACTAACTATGATCAGTCTGAGTACAGTAAAGGCAGTGATTCAGTGTTGCCTTATTTGAAGGAAGTCTGGGGATTCTGCTGTTTCTAGTAAAACAAAACAAAAATGGCTGTTACGTTTGAGTAAATTTTTTAATTCTCAGTTCTTATCACTTTGGCACTTGGGATTTTCCTTTTGGGGGCACATCATACCTCTTTGGGGAGTCCCAATATTTCCTGTATGCAGGAAAAACCCTGCTCAACAAGGGGGAAACAGGCGTTTCTGTACTTCTACAAAATGAGAGATAGAATGAACAGAAGGAGATGGGTTTATACTTTAATATGAAATGGTGATAATAATATGTTAGCCATTTATAAGCTAGTCATAATTGTGGCGGTAACTATACACAGTAAACTTTAGAACTAAAATGCAAACTGTAGTAATGGATATAGATGTTTAGATTCTGTAGTAAACTTAGGCTTGGTTTGCTGCTAGTTCCAGTTTAAGTCCAGTAATGCTGATTTTCTCTCATTTATATATTATAAATAGAATATCTAATGGTTTTGGCTGTAATTTGAAGATATCCCATTGAGGAAAACTGTGACGGCCAGTTTTGGCCACTTTTTTGGCCAGATTGAATTTCCCTTAATTGAATTTCCCTTCTGGGATAAACAAAGTATTTTTCATTTCATTCATTTAATTTCATTTTAGTGTTTTCTGACACTTAACAGTGAACCAAGAAAAGAATAAATAAAATGAGTACATTGCAAGTTGCGCGGTCAAAATACTCTTTATAAATCTTCAAAAAAACAAAAAGATATTCTATTTATTTTTTTTACAAAAGTCAAGAAAAAAAAAACTGCAGATATTTACAACTAAGAAGCCACACAGAGCATGAACAGTTCTTTAGTCATCAAAATAGTTAGATAGCAACTAATTGGCTCATTGTCTGTGGATTGGCTCAGGTGGCATCATAATGTGGGTTTGCTCAGTGTCACATGAAGTTTTAATATGCACAGGTTTAAGGCAACACAATTGTGTCACCAAAATACAGTGTGTTGTATTTTTAGCCTGACATGTAACCGGCTAATTCCCTGTTGTTGTCGTCTCTGTCGTTTCAGATAAACCATCATGATTCCCATCACAGAGCTCCGGTACTTTGCTGACACCCAGCCAGCGTACCGCATCCTGAAGCCATGGTGGGACGTTTTCACCGACTACATCTCAATCGTCATGCTGATGATTGCAGTGTTCGGCGGGACGCTGCAGGTCACACAGGACAAGATGATCTGCCTGCCTTGCAAGTGGGTCGTCAACATGTCCTGCAAGACCATGCCACTCCCGAACATGACCACCACCTTCGTACCAGAACCCAAAGGCATTCAGTACGACCTCGACCGACATCAGTATAACTACGTCGATGCTGTCTGCTACGAGAACAAACTACACTGGTTTGCTAAATATTTCCCCTATCTGGTGCTACTCCACACTCTCATCTTCTTGGCCTGCAGCAACTTCTGGTTCAAGTTCCCCCGCACAAGCTCAAAACTGGAGCACTTTGTTTCCATCCTCCTCAAGTGCTTCGACTCACCTTGGACAACAAGGGCTTTGTCTGAGACCGTGGTGGAGGAGAGCGACCCCAAACCTCTGGGAAAGATGAACGGTTCGATGGACAAGAAGGCCTCAAGTGTGAGCGAGGATGTTGAGGCTAGCGTGCCCATGCTCCAACGAACAAAGTCCAGAATTGAACAAGGAATTGTGGATCGCTCTGAAACCGGAGTTTTAGATAAAAAGGAGGGAGAGCAGGCCAAGGCCTTGTTTGAGAAGGTGAAGAAGTTCAGAATCCACGTGGAAGAGGGTGATATTGTGTACCGCCTGTACATACGTCAGACCATCATCAAAGTTATTAAGTTTATACTGATAATCAGCTACACAGCCTACTATGTAGGGTACATCAGGTTCAGTGTGGTGTGCTCAGTAAACATTGAGAAACTAACTGGGTACAGCATGTTCCATTGTGCTCACCCTTTAGCAACACTTTTCAAGATTTTGGCCTGTTTCTACATCAGCTTGGTGGTAGTCTACGGTCTAATCTGCATGTACACTCTTTGTTGGATGCTCAGCCGCTCCCTCAAAAGATACTCCTTTGAATCAATCCGCGAAGAAAGTAGCTACAGTGACATCCCCGACTTAAAGAATGACTTTGCCTTCATGCTGCACATGATAGATCAGTATGACCCTCTCTACTCCAAGCGCTTTGCTGTATTTTTGTCAGAGGTGAGTGAGAACAAGCTGAGGCAGCTGAACCTGAACAATGAGTGGACATTGGAGAAGCTGAGGCAGCGGATCACCAAGAACTCCCAGGATAAGCTGGAGCTGCACCTGTTCATGCTCAGTGGGATTCCAGACACAGTGTTTGATTTGGTTGAGCTAGAAGTGCTGAAGCTGGAGCTTATCCCAGATGTAACTATTCCCCCAATCATCGCCCAGCTTTCCAACCTGAGGGAGATGTGGCTCTATCACACACCAGCTAAAATCGAGGCTCCAGCTCTGGCTTTCCTGAGGGAGAACCTGAAGTCTCTGCACATCAAGTTCACTGACATCAAGGAGATCCCACTGTGGATCTACAGCTTGAAGAACCTCAGTGAGCTCCACCTAACTGGGAACCTGAGCGCTGAGAACAATCGTTACATCGTCATCGATGGGCTCAGAGAGCTCAAAAGTCTCAAAGTGCTCCGCCTGAAAAGCAACCTCACTAAGCTTCCACAGGTGGTGACGGATGTGGGCGTGCACCTTCAGAAACTCTCCATCAATAATGAGGGGACCAAGCTCATGGTGCTCAACAGCCTGAAGAAAATGGTTAACCTGACAGAGCTCGAGCTCGTTCGATGTGATCTCGAGCGCATCCCGCACTCCATCTTTAGTTTGCACAACCTCCAAGAGATCGACCTGAAGGACAACAACCTGAAGACAATAGAAGAGATCATCAGCTTCCAGCATCTGCACCGGCTCGTGTGCCTGAAGCTGTGGTACAACCAGATCGCCTATATCCCCATTCAGATCGGTACCCTCACCAACCTCGAGAGGCTGTATCTGAACAGAAACAAGATAGAGAAAATCCCCAGCCAGCTGTTCTTCTGCCGCAAGTTGCGTTTCTTAGACCTGAGCCACAACAATCTGACCAGCATCCACGCTGACGTGGGCTTCCTCCAGAACCTGCAGTACTTTGCTGTGACAGCCAACAGGGTAAGAAGCAGAAATGTTGTCTGTGGCCCTTTTTCCACCCACGTCTATCTTTCTGTCATGTGTGACTAAGATGTCCTCAAAGGCCAGATAAGGTGTTTACAAAGGTCGGTGTTTATAAATGCTGAGATGTTCACGTCTGGATTAAGAATTATGACTGTAAAGATAACTGTATGAATGAGTCTTTATAGTTTTACGGTTGTTGTTGCATTCCAGCGACAGAAAGCTTGAAAATTCTGATATGATCTCGGTTTGTTTGTCTGGCAAATTTCCAATGTCTACAGCAAAAGAAAACATTATTGAGAGGTATTTTAAAAATGCAGTCCTGCTTTATGCACTGCAATCAAATTATGCAAATTGCTGTCACACATGATAAAACCCCCTGTCTGGAGTGAATTACACGTTTTATTTCTACTCCATTATTTTCTTCTTTCATGCCAGTAAATAGACACTATTGTGGATTTCAAAGAATTGTGGTGACATTTGTTGAATAATTACACTATTTCTCCAGACCACATTGTGATTCTTTGATGTACGCTTTGTCCTTTTCACAATGCAGCTCCACACATCCGGCCTTTTCCCTTCTGGAAAAGAAGGTGGCAGATAAAAATGTTTCCAGCTCCTGTAGATTTCCTGAGAAGTAAATGATTACATTTCAGGAGAACAAATACCATTTTCAGGATTTCGGTTTTGGCTTCCACAGTGATAAACTTAGATACTTTCAGGACCGTGTCAGATCCTGGAATGACTGTTATGGCTGGATTAGTCCATGTGACTTTTTGGTGAAGGAGATAATTTATCTGAACAAAATGCTGTTTATTTGATTTGCAATGGAGGAATTTCATCCAGGAAGATACAGTGGGCTCACTGTGAGAATTTAGCGCTTCAGACAGAGCGTTCTCCTGAAAATGCTGTTTTGAACTCAGAAAGCATGTATACAGCATCATGTGTTTTTAGTAAAGGCTACTATTACTGCTGTTTTACTGTTTGCTTGTGTGGTCGCACACTGGAAATAGCTTCCAGCAGGTTTGTGAGCAGCCACAAATAGCTCCATTAAATAGGACCCTTCTGGTGTCTCCGAGGCCTCTCTTCCTTAAATCCTCTTTACACTGTCAGCACATTACCAATTCAGATGAGATGTAAAAATGAGTAATTGTGAATATTACATCGAGCCATTCTCCACTCATTACAATGGAAATAGCTGCTTCTTTTTCTTAATCCATGCGTCATCTCGCCAAGGCGTATGGATTAAGAATCGAACAAGTTAGACTTTTTTTGTTTTACATCCCTCATTGTTCTGCCTCTTGTCCTCGCTTCAGATCGAGACTTTGCCCCCGGAGCTGTTCCAGTGTAAGAAACTGCGCACTCTGAATCTGGGAAACAACTGCTTGCAGACGCTGCCATCACGCTTCGGAGAGCTGACCGGGTTGACCCAGCTGGAGCTCAGAGGGAACCGTCTCGAGTGTCTCCCGGTAGAGCTCAGCGAGTGCCGGCTGTTGAAGAGGAGCGGCCTGGTGGTGGAGGAAGATCTGTTCAACACGCTGCCGTCGGAAGTCAAAGAGCAGCTTTGGAGGGCTGATAAGGAGCAAGCTTGAACCAAACCGCTGCAGAGGCAAAAGTTTGATTAGAGAAACAAACAAGCAGTGATTTTGTTCATAAAGCCTGGCTGACCTCGAGAGAAATGCCGCAGCATTGGCCATGCAGACGCTGAAAAAATGATGGCTTGTTGTTTGTTTGATGAAGCAGGGATATCAGATTCCAAGACCTCCGAGGATGGCTTTTTTGGAAATGACTATTCTCACGCTTTTCAAGGACAAATTTCATAACCGAGCTCGGTGATGAAAGTTGTTTCAGTGAAGTGGCTTTTCTGTGTTTCATCATGATTACAAAAGACACAAGAATGCAGGCAGGTGAGGTGGAATATGCATGCCACTGTAGGATCTTTCTAAAGCAAACCTGTTTTTAGAGAGAGCCAAAAAAAAAACATAGAAAAACTTCGCACGATTCAGCCTTGCAAGTGAACCCTAATGTGCTCACTGTCACTACTTTGCCACAGGATACATGCACAAATTGAACATACTCAAAGCAGTGTTTGCCTGACCATTCTTTGGCCTTGAGACTCAAAATTGACTACGTTTGTAGTGGCATTGTGTTGCTGTGTGGCTCGCAATATTCGCAGATGTAAAGAAAAAATACAGTGTGACTGATGGCTAGTTCATTGGGGCATGAAGATTTGGCCCCGTTACTTTCTTTAGGCTCTCCTTACGCTCGATCTGCTTGGAGGCATCTTTTTATGGGAACAAAGGGACTCTGATGAAGATTAACAAATTGTCCGACAGGTGATCTCACAGCTTAGGCCTTAACTCGGAAGACAGATGGAAACGACTTCAAAGAAAAGCTGTCAAATATTCAGTGAACACAAATGGGAACACACTCCACAGTACAATGTCTAAATACCCCGCAGTCGTTCATTTATAACATCGGCCTGTGTGGCAGGTTGTTTGTTAACTGCATGGGGAGCTATAGTGGAGAAATCCACCGTTCTGCTTCAAGTCTTCGTTTTGCTTCACTAAACATCGTCATAAATCTGGCGTGTGACACTGGCTTTACCTTATCTTACATGACTTAACATCACACACATTACACACGTCTTACTGAGCTGTGAGGTGGGCTTTGAACCAGGTGGAGGGGCCTGTTTTATTTTAAATCTTACCATACGTTGGTATCATGTTTGGGCCTTTGTGACAGGCTGTATTGTGATTCAGTGAGTGACTAAATGCCACATTATGTGCAATCTTGATTTATTTTTTTTGTTCTGTTTGTGCTTTTTTAAGCTACTTCCTTCGACGTATACATGCAGTCAGACATCTTAAGTGACCTTTGTTTAATTCAAGGCTTAATATATTTTGCTTTACGTACTAGATTGTAGTTTTACATTGTGTACGCTGCTCATGATAAGTTAGCTGTGCCTGTGTTAAGGCTACAGAGACACAAGCATTCAGACAGCTCCCTGGCACAGTTGATTTCTTTCGGGTTTTGCTTTTCAAATTAAAATATATGCAAGCTTGCACAATGCTAATTATGGAGCAGACAGATGATATATTACATTAATTACATAAACAAGAATCAAGGTACTTTTTTTATTCTCAGTATGCGTTTGATGAGCTGCAGTGGTTATTACCGATGTGGCCTCTCCAAGCGTATGAACTTCAGATGTGAAACAGGAGAGTCAGGTACTGTTAGTCTGAAAAAGTGAAGTGTTTACTCAAGTGTCCGGTTGTTTGTACGCTAGCCCTTAAAGTAAATTTATCGTGCTCAGTTTATTCCAGGAAAAAAGGTGGACTTTTTGGCATGTGTTTATCCATTCAAGAGGCAGATGAGGACAAACGGGAAATTGGAGAGTGCAGGAAACTGGTTTTGACCGACCTAAACAAGGGAAACATTTATTTGTCAAGAGAGAAATTAGTGCAACATGCTTTGTGTGCTTGAAACACTTTTCTTGTTAAGACCTTGGATTTAATAGCATCATTTGGAGTAAATCTATGTTTACTCCAGCCAGGCATCCCTTGTTGCTAATATGGCCTTAGCTTTTACAAGCTGTATACCCCGTTAAAGATCCCAAACATCATAGTCATGGCTTGTTTTTTTCATTTCGTGCTGTAAAATGTATAGCTGAAATGTTTAATGTCTTTGTTTCATGTGTATCGGTCATGCAGCATGAGCTCTTATTCTTGCCAGCTGTTTCTTTTTGATTTTGGCTTTTTAAGAGATTTCAAGGAAGCTTCAGCGTAATAACACAATTGCACCTTTGTTCACAGTGGATTTTGTTTCACTGAGGCCTTGGCCAAATCAGAATGCCCTTCCAGGGGTCACCAGTAAAGTGCTCCCACAGTCTTAAAGTGCAGAAAAGGGAGCCTCAGTCTGGGATGTGTTGACTAGCAACCAGTTTAAAAGTTGGAAGCAAAGGTCACAGATGACATCAGAGAAAAGCAGTAAATGAAAGGAAATCTCAGCTTATCCAGCATGTATAGACTTTGTAAACATAATTGATAAAATGACAAATTCATCACAGTTAGTCTGCTCTGGTTTAATTTTTATGGTGCCAATTAAGAGTGAACACGTCTTTTTAAAGAAACACTTCAGAGAGTAGCTGCTGACATGTTGGATGCCAAACCGGCAAGTAATTTAGGCAAATGTTTATTGTGCTGTCGCAGGCCATTGGACAACTTCTATTTCACTCAAAAGTGAATCTGATATTGTAACATGGCTCATTGTTGTGGTGCAGTGCAGTTGCCAGCGCTGCTCACACTGTCTCCCTATTGCAGTACAGTGTCACTCTAGGACACTGATGCCATTCACATTGAGTTATTGAGTGTATTTTGGCCTTAACATGCTGGTCATGTCGTTAGAGGTTGTATAGTCACTACAAAATGTATATATATTTTTTTTCTCCTTATTTTTAGGAGAAGTTCTGACCTGTATCTAACTCAAAATTCATCCTCGGTGGAGCATTTACATCAGTAATACTGTGGAAGACGGACAGTGCCATAGAAGCGTTTCTCAGGGTGTCACTGGGAACTCATTCACACCTTATTAGAATGGTTGGATTTGCCAAAACTGCTACATACATGTAGATATACAAATATATCTGGCATTGTTTGAGACACATCTGTAATCAGGACTCACTTTGTCCTGCTGACACAAATATTTGTGGCGTTTAATTGCCTCAGTCATACTTTCTGACCTCTGGATCTATGACTCAGCTGTACAGTCCGTCACCGTCACTTCCCACTGAGTCACCAGATTGACTTGCGGCCCACCTCCCTTTCCTGCATGTCAGCGTTAGTGAATCTGGTGGCGCTCTGGGATAAGGTCAGTCAGACATTAGCGAAAAAACCAAAAGAAGGAAGTGTGACTAATACATGATCCTTGGTTACGAGAAGACTTTAGCACTTTTTATGTACCTAGAATCATGTCAGAAGTGGCCTGTTTTCTTCTGATCATGTTAAGTAAATGTCAGTCACAACATGTAAAAGGATTATTTTTTTCATTCTGTGCAAATTGTTTTGCATTTAACTTCTGCCTTCTTTTTGTTTAAGTGCAAATTATCACTATGTTTGTGTGTTATGTCTGCCTTAAGTTGTGTTGTTAATGTGAAACTGAATGATCGACCACCTTACTCTTGCACAGAACTGACTTATTTGGATCCACAGAAGGTTTTACAGCTGCTGGTATTTTTGGACACGACTTCTGACAACAGGACAGGATTTCACAACTGAACAGAAACAACTCTTGACAATCTAACTTACTGTAAACGGAGGTGAGCTCACCCTCCAGTGTGGGCATTGTGTACAACAGTACACATCATGTGTTAATATCTAATATTTCTGCAGAGTGTACATTTCTGGGACAGTCACAACGTCATTTCATTTTTAATCCCTGCAAATTTGCATTATTCTTAAACTGCCACGATTGCATTGCATTGACATCTAATCTCTACCTATGTATAAAATGTTTATTTAAATACATGATTGTATTTGCTATGTACAATGAATTCATCTCTGTATTCTGATGCCTGTAGATCAGGGATATATGAAAACAGTTGGTTGGTTTCCTTTATCCGGTGTCATATTCATTTCACTTTGAAGCATGGGTTTGTTGATGCTGATCTTGTGCGCATTATAGCCATACTGAAAGCCACCCACGTAACCCCGAGCAACAATCATGTCGAATACGAACTGCAAGCTGGACGGACAGACTCGTTTCATGCAGCACCGTCTGTATCACACGTGACAAGGCCTTTATTAATTAATTGTTGCCAAGTGGACTGAACACTGGCTTTTTAAGCGGGACGTCTGTAACACATGGACAACTGAACTTTGATTTCCTAATGTTCAGACCCTACTTTTGTACCGTTCTGACACGTGATAATAAAATTAACACTTAACACTAAATCCTGGGTCAATTCCTCATTTGGTGGATGGTTCTTCTTTCAAGGGGAAGTCCTGTGTGCTGCTAAGAAACATTTAAACACTTGAGGAGAAGTTGGCTGACAGACCTTTGATACTGCTGACGTTTGACTTGGCTCAGGAAGAAAAGTATTGGTGTAAATAACATGGACAATGTCTCAGGTCTTCTAGGGATCCCAGTAAGGCGGGGCACTGCACCTGTCTGGACAAGACTCCGACCCTGGTGCTGACTCACCAACACATCCAGTTGTGATCAATGTTTTCCTGCTGTGATGTCAAAGTATGTACTGTAAACGTTTACTGCAACATTTTAGTGCTGGACCTTTATGGGGAAGATGGTTTCAAGAGAAGCCATCGCCACAAGTTACATTACCCAGGTACTATAGGAAGTATGAATCAATGGAAAATAATCAAATTCAATGTGCAGGAGTCTGTTAAAGATGTGTGAAAAATCCCTTTGTTTAAACATTTCCACCAGCACACTTGGCGTCCTCACTGACTGAGAGCTTATTATTAGTTACATATTTAATTTTGCCAATACACACTACTTTGACTATGTTGTTCATGCGCTTATCTTAATATGTTTTTATACTCAAGGTTCTCATCATACTTTTCACTCCCTCTATGCGTTAATATGACAGCACTACTTGTAATTATCTTTGTGTTTTCTCTTCACTGTAGCTGTAGTTTGTCCTGTCTTACTGCATGTTTGTGGTCTTTGGCTTCTGTCCCCACCAACCTGTCCAACGTTTTTTGCTTTTGTTTGTTGTCTTGCTGTCTCTCTGCTTTCCTTTCCTCTGTCTCCTCACCCCAGCCAGTCGAGGCAGATGGTCGCCCTCCCTGATCCTGGTTCTGCTGGAGGTCTCTTCTTGGAAAAAAGTGAGTTTTTCTCTCCACTGCCTCCAAGTAGCTGCTCAAAATGAAGCTTTCAGTTTCTCAGTGTAACAGTGTAAGTTCTTGACCTTTAACTTAGTAAGGTAAAGTTGTGACGTTAATGTTATGTCTCAAATCGAAAGCACTTTGGAGCAACAACTGTTGTTTTAAATGTGCTGTATAAAAAACACTTGACTTGTCCAAGGTTACAACATAAAAGTTTTGTCCTTCTGTCCTGAACCATACTGAAGCCCTCATGTAAAATACATAAGAGTTCAACACCTGTCTGTATTTACAGAGTATGACCAGACAATTATTACAACAAATCTAACAGTTATTCATTGTTTTTTGAGGGGTTTTTTTTGTTGTTTTTTTTGTATAGTAAGTTGTAAGAGTTAGAATCACAGTTCAAATGAAAATGAAAGTTGAGGTTAGACTTCATTTTTCTACTAGTTCACATTGAAAAATGTGGTTCTAAAGCACATGATTAACTCATAAAATATGATGCAGTGTAATAGATTGAAATGTCTGTTACAGGATTTTAATTTAAAATTTGTCCCACCTCAAGCAGCTGTAATATTAGAAATGTTCTCATTTGTCAGCAGTAATGTTCCAATAATATGACATATTTAATTAAGCTTTAACAGGGACAGTTCTGCCTTATGGGCACTTTTGTACTTTTAACTGAATGGTACTGCTGTTCTTACAGGAATAAAAGCTGAAGATACTTTTCTCATGATTATTTGCAAAAATCCAGACTCTTTTATTGGATAAAATGGGGACAATACCTCTTCTATTTGATAACAAATAAGGGGATGATAGTTTTTTGTACTTGTATATGTAATACATATGTCCAAAAAACAGGTTGTCTCCAAAATGTAACTGCCAGTCAGATACTTTTTTTAGTCTAATAACATTACTTAATTCAGTATGTAGTCAAGCCTTAGCAGAGCAGATTATTATATGCAGCAGTCGAAGGAAAGTCTTCACATTCTTTATTTAAATAATAGTAGCATTACAAATGCACACTGTTGCAAGTAGTACAAGTTCATAATATTCTATATAATGTATTATAATTAGGTATTATTAGTTAGATTTACTTGTTGAAGAAAAGTGAAAGATCCTATAATGCAGAGAAATGTACTGTTGTATACTATTAGATTATGGTTACAGATGTACTGATGTGCGTGCTGCATTTTGCTGTGGTTGGTAAAAGTGCTTTCACTATATTTGATGTGCTTATGGATTAAAAAAAACAATCAGCAAGTTGTCTACTGCTGGCTAATAAATGTAAATTAGCAAAAAAAGGTGCAGTACTTTCCTCTGAACTGTAGCTGAACAACAGAAATAATATTTAACAGATGTTTATGAATGTACTTAACTTACAGTTAAACCCTAAATTATTCATGTTCTTGCTTTATTTTATTTATTTTTTTTAGAGATTTTCTTTTTATTTTGACCAATATTTTGTTTGTTTGTTTTATACATTATAGTAAAAATAAATAAAAAAATGGGAAAATTAATCCTACCCTCTAAATCTCTGACAAAATTCTGGCACTGGTTTAGATAATTTGGGGTTTATACTTTTCACCTGTCCCTCCTGCTCGGTGCAAGTAGCCAGAGTGGCCACTAGATGGTGCTGTTGTTTACATTTGTTCATTTACACGCTACAACAGCGACACGTAGAGGCCATTCCGTGCTACTGCAGCAGCACCGTCAGACGCTCCAGGCGGCAACACGTTGCATTGAAAGAGTTAAAGTCCAAAATCCTATTACGGCCTCTTTATGGTTACACTTTAATTGATTTAGACACATGGTCACGTGGTCGGAAACCAGGAGGCTGCGCTGTTGCCCGGATGAGACACTCAAAACACGTCGTGCTTGTCACATGAAGTGGACCTCTGCCTGCAGACCAGCATGGATTTCATGACAGATCAGGATGTGCAGAAGGTGAGGATTGCTTTGAAACAACAGCGAGGCCACACAGAGCTGCAGCCTCTGCTTCACTGAAACTGTAAAAGCTGAAAATGAAGTGCTCTTAATCTGACTGCTGTGTGTTTCTGAAGGGGGAGAAAACCAGGATTGAGCACATTTCAAGCTCATTACATAACATGCTGCAGCTACAAGTGGCCTCTTGTGAGACCAAACGCCCCCTTTTCTGCTGCATAAAGCACCAGCTGTGCCTTTAAGAGTAAATTCCCCATTTAACATGCAGACATTATCCATTCCTTGTGTTATATATAGACAGGGATACAGCCAGGACATCTGAAACTAAAATCTAAAGAGTGTTTTTTCCTGGAGCAAGTAAATCTGTTTCAAGAGAAGATGTCACAAATTCCTTCACAGGGATGAAACATTAAACATTTACTTCGGCTGATTATGTAATAGACCTCAGAATGGATTTAGTGTGTGCGTTTAAATCCTGCAACAGTGATGGTTTTCATTATTAATGAATCTGATGATGAGTTCATTTTAAAGCAGTTCAAGGCCTAAAAATATTGCTGTGATAGAAAATGTAGAAAAGCTGCAAATCCTCAGAGTGGACCAACTAGAACCAAAGAGATTTTAAACTACTACATTAATTGCATTTTAGTGTGAAATATGTGACCAGTGATTATTTCCATTGTCGATAAATCTGTTGAATAATTTCTGCATTAATTAATCAGTTCTTCATTTAAAACATGTCAGAAAATGGTGAAAAATGCTGATCGGTGTTTCCCAAAGCCCAGGATCCTGAAATGTCTAGTTTTGTCTTCTACCTATAGATATTCAGTTTACTGTCACAGAGGAAAGAAGACAGAAAATATTCACACAAGCAGGAATCAAAGAAATTTAGACTTTTTTCCCCCTAAAAATAAAAAAACAGACTCCAACTCATTTACCAAAACAGATGAATTTGATAGCTGGCAACTAATCGACTAATGGATTAATTATTGTAGTTGTAGCAACATTGTGGCTCAGTTATTTGATTGGTCAGTTTAATCAGCACGACTGTTTTGATATTCAACTAGTATTGCTCTCTAATTTCCAGATACTTAGTCAGGAGGCTTTGTTTGTCATGTAATAATAAATTGAACATGTCTGATTTGGGATTTTTTTTTTATAAGCAAACAACATTTTCATCACCTCACTTCTGGTTTTAGGAAACTGTCAAGAGTGTTTTTCACATGTCTCTGATATTTCAAAGCTCAACGAACACAAGCAAGACACAAAAACCTCACGAGACCTTTTCTTGTTTGTGCTCCATTTTTCTTTAATTGCATACTTTAAATTATAATGCATTTACAGACTGATAACATTGTGGAATTGAACCAGTGTTTGACTTTGCTGAAAAAAAAAGAGGGAATAGACATGAAATATAATTATAGCGGAGACAGCTAGAGGCCTCAATAATTGCTTCTTCTGCCCTGTGAGTTATTAAAGCTGACTCAGCAGCTCTTTCCTCCGGCTTCACAGTACAGGGAGGACGGCTACGTGGTTCTGGACGGGCTGCTCACCTCTCAGGAGTGTGACGAACTGAGGCAGAGGATGTCGGAGGTCGTGGACAGGATGGACGTCCCCGAGCACTGCCGCACCACCTTCTCCACCTACCACGACGAGCAGCTCAAAACACAGGTAACCCGGTGGATGTGGCAACACAACACACGTCCAACAGGGTCAGCTGTTCAGTCAACCATGTTTCTCTCTCATGCTTTCCATTACATCGGCACTTAAAGATGCAGGTAAGACTGTGTGTGATCAGGATCATGTAGCCTGCAGATGCCTCCGCTCTGGTTCATAGTGTTTTACCTCGACCCCAAGTGTCCCTGCTGTCTGGCTAATAGCAAACTCTTATGTCAACAGTGTAGTCAGTGGAGTGACTCTGTCCTCTGTAATGTAACTGGCTGATCACCTGACCCACGTTAACCTCTCTGACCCGCAGGGAAACGCTGACTATTTCATCACAAGTGGAGATAAGATCCGCTTTTTCTTTGAGAAGGGAGTTTTTGATGACAAAGGTGAGTTTTAGTGTCACTCTCTCTGCAGCCTGTAGATTATTTCTTATGCAGTGAAATGAGATGAATCCTTTCTTGACTTTCAGGGGAGTTCATCGTACCAAAACAGCGCTCAGTAAATAAAGTCGGACATGGTGAGATTTCTTACATTTCTTGAATTTGTGTACACAGATCTCTCTAAAAGTCCCCGACTGATACCAGTTTCTGTCTTTTAGCACTTCATGCGTACGAGCCTTTGTACAAAAAGGTTACACATTCACCCAAAGTTCAGGTGAGTAGCTGCAGGACAATGTGGGAGGATCATGTACTGAGTCACAGAATAACCAACTCATACGTCTAATGTTCTCTCAGGGCATCGCTAAGAAGCTGGGTCTTGCCACTCCAGTGATTCTGCAGAGCATGTACATTTTCAAGGTAAAGCATCTGTCTGTAAAATATCTTATAGTGTTAGATTATGCTACTATATGTAAAGACAAATTAAAATAGAATCATTCTTTATCTTTTTCAGCAACCAGGAATTGGTGGAGAAGGTAAGAAAACTCAGCTGTGTCTTTTTATTAGCAGCTTTGAACAACAAATGCACAACTTTTTCTGTCATAACTTCCTGAACAGCTCAGAGAATGTGACCAATGACCAACACTTCCCTTACTTTATCCCTATTTTTCATTTTTTGTTGCATATACCCAGACTTGGTATCAAAACAAGACGGAAAAGTCGAGTAAAAGCAAACATGAAAGCTACATAGATAAATAACAGAACCTACAGGTGCAGCTTAAAAGGTTCTAACACAGTTTAAACATTTTGAGATTTCTGATTTTCATAAACTGCAAGGGGGCTCGGTGGTTAGCATCGTTGCCTCATAGCCAGAAGGTCGCCAGTTCGCGTCCCGGTAAGGACACGCGGGATCTTTCTGTGTGGAGTTTGCATGTTCTCCCCGTGCACTGTGGGTTCTCTCCGGGTTCTCCGGCTTCCTCCCTCAGTCTGTCTTTGTCTGAATCTATCAGAGCCTCTCTCTGCATTTCACTCCGAAACTCCAAAACCCTGAATCATGGATCTGATCAGCTGGTCTCTCAACGCAATTGATCAAATTTTCTCGACGAGAAGACTGGGCAAAGGAGAGCCCGCCTGCCCCGACGGAACGTTTGCAGCGGGATACACGATGGACTTCTGGAAGGAGTGGAGGGCCATGTGCCTCTCTATACTTTCCGTGGAGGATGTTGAAGACGTCTACATAATTGGGATCATGACAACAGGCTTCCTGCTGTTTGGAGTTTGCGGGTTCCTGCTTTATCGCAAAGTTCGGAAGACGGAGGCAGCAGTTTTGGCATTTGACAAGCTGCCCGTCATGGAGGGATTGCTTCGGGCTGTCAACTCTCAGACTCAAGCGATATGCAAACACAATCGCAAACTGGACGGGGTTCCAGAACTGATTCGCAAGATGGACACCACCTTGGAGCGGTTGAACAGCCCGATCCGGATGTAATGGGCCATCATATTCGGCTTTTTTGGATCACAGAGAGAACCAGTGGGACTCTAAGGACTGACGGTAAATCACAAGTCGGCCTGACCCAAACAATCTTTATCTTCATTCGGCTCCCCCGCTTTGGCCTTGGCCTTGGAAGGCTGATACCTCTACACTTCTCCTGGATGTTGTGCAGACAGATGCTCAGCCCCTCCCCTCCCCTACTCCTTCTCCTGTGAACTTTGTTCTGGACCAGAACTCTTCGAGGTCGTCTCCACGGCAACGGCCGTGTCCCGTCACCTGCATCAGACGTCAGAGACACTGTTGAGTCTGGGCGGTGATGAAGCTCATGGACTTACACATACACGTACACGAAGACACACAACACACACACACCCCTGGACTCAACGCCTTGGTTGGCTCCCCACCCCCTCTCCCTCCCCCGTCACAGACCAGTATGCTGTGGGATGACGCGAGGTGCCTCGTGGCTGCGCGCTCCCCCCGGTGTCTGAGCTGTGACACCTACCCTCCCCAACACCCTCCTCCCCTCCCACATGTGCAAGTCTTGAGTTTTGTTGTGATGTTTTTATCATGTTGCTATGTGCTGAGGTGTTTTTTTTCCTAATCCCACACTGTGGCCCCCCCCCGAGGAGCCCAGTTTGGGAATTGCCTTTTTTTCCCCTCATCTTCCCTCTTGTTTTCCCTTTTCCTATCTTATGAGGTGACCCCGCTCAGGCTGGGCGACACGACAGTTTCTCCCCTCCTGTCTCCCCCTGTTATTACTGTCTTTATATGTTTCTTGGATGGGATGTAAACTGTTCTTCTCGTTGCTCTGTACTTGTGACATGTGCAATGACAATAAATTGCGAATTGAATTGAATTGAATTGAATTGAAATACATGTTGAGGTTAATTGGTGATTCTAAATTGTCCGTAGGTGTGAATGTGAGTGTGCTTGTTTGTCTGTTTTAAGTGTAGCCCTGTGATAGACTGGTGACCTGTCCAGAGTGTCCCCTGCCTTCACCCTAAGTCAGCTGGCATAGACTCCAGCCCCCCATGACCCTAGTGAGGATTAAGCGGTGTATAGATAATGGATGGATGATTTTCATGAGCTACAAGCCATAATCATCTAAATTAAAGCAAAAAAACCTTGAAATATTTAAAGTTACGTGTAGTGAATATAGACTATATGAGTTTACCTTTTTGTATTCGGTTACAAGAAAATAACTTTCATTTTGTCATTTTTTGAGCTGCACCTGTACATATATCACCCTTACAAAAGTTAAATTAAATATTTTAAGGTATACGAGTTAATGCTTAACCGTTTCCTCATAAACGCTGTTACAGTTTGCTTTTTAATATGTATGTAACTTTTTTCCCTCGATCTCATGTAGTGTTCTATTTTTTTGTAACTTTTTCCACATATTTACAAATGTTTGCTCGTGTGTTCTCAAAAACAGATTACCTATTAAATGTTTGAGATATTAGGACTGTTCATCCAAAGCTGTTGTAATTTAGCTCCTTAATTGTTCATTCTTCACAACAAATGAGTACACTAAGACTACTTTGCATTTAAACCACATCTCAGGATCAGTGTTGTTGTGATGTTTCTTTAGTTCAACAGTAGCTACTTAAGCCTGTATGAACTAGTTTAGATCCTTGTAATGTTTTGGTAGAACCAGATGTAAAGTCAGTAAGTTATAGATAGATTCATAAACCTCTGTCATGCAGGTTTTTTGTGATGTTTTTTTGGACAAAGATGAACATGTGGGAATCTGGATTTATCCATTGTTATCTTTTTATTGTAGCTGAAGTCTGTTATTGAAATTAGGAGCTCACGCAAGAGATTCTTTTTCTTTTTCTTTTGATATTGTTTTATTTTGGAATTTCAGCAGATTCTTGTGTTTTGTAGTGACACCACACCAAGATGCCACATTTCTGTTCACGGAGCCGCTGGGCAGAGTCATGGGGCTGTGGATCGCCCTGGAAGATGCTACTGTTAACAACGGCTGCCTGTGGTTCATCCCAGGGTCGCACAACAGTAAGTAGCAAACAGCGTACATATGTCATCCAGAAACTTTTTAGCGCTCAATCTGTTATGATGAAAACATCCTTTCCTCTTCCCAGGTGGCATTTCTCGTCGTATGGTTCGCACCCCGAAGGGCACCTTTCCCCTGACGGACTTCATCGGTAAAGAGCAGACGTATGATGAAAAGAAGTTTATCGCCACGCCGGTTAAAAAAGGTAATTTGCATTTGTTGTTGAATTTACATTGACTAATGACGGGTGAAGGAGAAATTTGAATATTAAGGCGCTTTGTGTTTTATAAAAGTATCCAATAGTGTATAGAAGCACTAGTGGGATTTTGTGACAACGCTGGTGAAGTATCTAAACAATCTGCATAATGTGCATTGTGTAGTGATGAAACAAACAATCATTTAAAGGAACAATTTGGGAAGTGTGATCATTTTCTTTCCTATTGAGAAGGCAGGACTGATTCCTGACTGGGGGCATTCTGTCCCTGCACAAGAAGCAGGTCTCCACGTATGACCATGTAGATCATTTTCTCCTGTTTGCATCTTTTATGCTAAGCTAACCTACGTTCACAATTACTGTGCTTACACAAAACAAGCATCGACTTCTCATCTGCTGCTCCGTTAGAAAGCTATCAAGTATATCTCCTAAAGTGGTTTCAGCTCTTAAAATGTAAGACGAAAAGATTAATTGGGGAAAAAAAAAAAGTCAGATTACTTGGGCTCAAAAACAGCATTAGTGCTGGATTACCAAAGAAGCCAGTGTAGGCCAGCTTTTGCACATTCCCAACCTTCATCCATCTCTCTGTGTTCAGGCGGTGTCGTCCTGATCCACGGGGAGGTGGTGCATCGAAGCGCTGAAAACATCTCCGAAGACTCTCGCCACGTCTACACCTTCCACATCATGGAGGCCCAGGAGACCCGCTGGAGCCCCGACAACTGGTGAGAGTTTATCAGAGCTGGGAGGGGTTGCTGTGTTTCTTTTATTTTGTGAATCAGGTGTTTCTGGCAGATGGTTGCCACGGCAGCACATAGAAGGATGAATGAAATGAGCGGCGATATTAAAATGAGACTGTTCTTGAAGCAAGAGCCACATGATCTCTGTGACAATAAGTTCTACCTCATTAATGTGTATAATGTTGCTGTTGTGCTGCAAGATGCACCAAATTTAATCTCTGCTGCTCTGATTTGTCAGCTGCAAACACACACTTGATACCAGCAAGCGTGTGTTTGCATACTGCATATCTGGCATCAATTTGAACTTGTTAGTGTGCTTTTAGGAAATCATTTCTTATACTAATGTGCAGCTTCAAAATAGACCGACACTTTGACTTGTCGCAGTAGGAAAAGGACAGCTGCCTCTCATAGCATTATTGCAGTTCTGTTCTATTTAAGTGTCCCAGTATTACATTTCAATACTGAAACCTATGCGTCTCCTATTGTGATCTGTCTCCTGTTATAAAGGGCTGTTTATTAAATCATCTACTCCATATGAAGCACAAGTATGTAAACATGAAGGTCCTACTGTAGTTTTTGTGTTCACAAGCTTCACTACAGAGACATGAGGACAATCTTCCTCTCACAGATGAAAAGTTTAATTTATCAGTAATTAAACACGCTGCCGTACCTCGTCTGGTACGACCCTGCACCACCCTCATGGTGGGTAATGGTAGCTAATATCAGGAAACTTGAGATTTTACTGTGCAGCTTTCAGACATGCGCTCCTTTTTGTTAAGCTGATGTCATCTGAACGGCTCGGCTTCATGTCTAAATGAACACCCTGCTCACTTTTCCATTAGAAATCCCCGGTCGGACCTTGTAACATTTCTGTATCGCTTTCAACAGAACATGAGTCTGAACTCCATGCCTTACTGCATGCGTCAGCGGATAGGTACACACAAGTGATGCAGTGGGGTTTTTTTTTTTCCATGTTTCAGCACCAATGTTAGACAAAAAAACATCCCAGAGAACACAGAAGACAGTAAATCACAAAACGTCCTCCTCATGCACTTTGCCCCACAATTTCACATCTATTACAAACTGAAATGTTAATTAAAAACACAACTTTACTGTAATTAAGACAGAACAGGTCAGATTGTTGAGACTCACCATTAATGAATATAATCCTAATTTTTATAGTAATAGTTTAACAGGATTGAAGCTTAGTTTGTTGCTACCAGCTGTTTGTAGGAGTCTTTCCTATTACTGTTCAGTCTCATGTGCTTGTCAAGTATTGCACACATACCATGGCTCTCTGTCTCTGTGGAGGGTCTGTCTGAATGAAGCTGTTAGGAACATTAACATAAAGGACATCTTTGTCTGCATGACAGAATGCCGTCCCTTTAACAGACTGATGAAGCAGTGATAGTATGCATGTCTGAAAAGGGTTTTGTTCTTATAAGTGCTGCTCTACTTGTAGTTAGACTTTTCTGGTGTGTTACACATAAACATCTCAGTGAAGGAACGGATGTAAACAGACTGAAACATGTTCTTCTGCATGCTGTCCCATCTTATTTGCTCAGTCAGGTCACTTAATGTCAACTTGTCTTTAAATCATCCGACTAAGTGAAATCTAGGTAAATGAAGTTATGCTATTGTACTGTAACTGACACTTTTGGCTACAGCAAGAACGGCTGCATAACTTTTGTTGCAAACGTAGCTTTAATGCTGCATGACATTCATGGCCCAATACTAAATATCTAATTTGTAGTGTAACAGCAAAGAACAGTCCTTAAATTGAATCAATAATATGACTAAACAATTTGGGTAACAAATCAAATTTTTAATTTTCTCATAGATATTGTGATTTAATTTGTGAAATATTTTTTTAAGTCAAGCTTTAGTTCAAAATTCACTGTGTGTAATAGATTTAAAACATGTGATGCAGCATTACCACACGAGTTCTTGATAAGAGCATGATTGTTACACAAGGAGGACGGCATGAATTTGTGAAACCGACAATTTAAATTCTGGATGAGCCGTGCAGCAAAATGTGCCAGATGTGGCTCTTAAATAATAAGACTGGGCTCATGTCAGTCGAACCACACAGTGTACATTGAGACAAAATTAAGTCACAACATTACTGTCATTATTTAATAGCCACACCTCATATATCCTAAATTGTAACCTTTGTGATTTGCTAACTCAGTAGGAGTGTTGCTGCTTCCAAAAGTTCCGCATTGTAACCGAGCTGTCATATTTTCATCTCTTTGGTCTTCAAAGGTTGCAGCCCACTGAAGAGCTCCCGTTCCCACCTCTCTACACTAAATGAAGAATGTCTTTGACTGCTCAGGATACTTTCCAAAAAGGGACCAACATGTATGAATAGTTTTATCTTTAGAAAATGTGCTGCAGTTTCTTATTGCTGTTTATAAAATCTTATATGACTCTATTTTTCTGACCTATATGTAGACTAGTACGTAGCCTGACTCAGAATTACTTCCAAAATAGTGGATTAATTGTGGCTAGCTTAGATTTCCAAAGAATATATCAATTTTTTTAAAATGAAGATTTCATTGAAATAAAAAAACTTCCCACATACATCCCACAACACAACTGGTATCCAGATCCACTTTTATTCAGTATTTCCTCATTGACATCAACCAGCTTTATGTTTTTCAAATCTGTGTCCAAGTGAGATGGCAGATTCTTACATTTTTATTTTTATTTTATTTTTTTACAGACAACAGTAAGCATTTCTGTTTTCAAGTATGTTCATTTTAAGACACAACTCAAATGAAAAACAAGCAAACTTCATGTACGAATGATTATAAACTGCAAGCTTCTTATGTTAGCCGTCAAATCAAACTGAGAAAGCAAAGGGTTAACGCTTGTCTTGTTAAAGTCCAGTCAGCCAGTCACACAGGTCCCTCGTCTCAATCCTCACATCAGCATTAAACAGACTACAAATAGGAGGCGTTTCAGTTTTTATCTTTTCTCCTCTGATAAACTCAACATGCAGTGTTACATCTTTTTAAAAAAATGTAAGGAGGATGGCAAAAACAAGATACTAGCAGGATCATGCTAATAAAACTGTAATCACAACATAAAAAAAACACCAAAGAACTTTTATAGGTGAACATTAAACAATTAAATTGTGCTGAAAACAAGGTTCAGGTTCTAAACTGTAGCGTCCCCATCTGGATGGATCAAACTTGTGACATTTAAGGATATTTCTATAAAGCATTTCAAATAATTTGGGACGGAAAAAAGTCACAAAAAGTAAGGGGCATTGTTCATTATTTTGGCCCGAAGCATATCTACAGTCCCAAAATACGCACGGTTTGAAGGCTCAGTGTCACAAGGAAATGTATATATTAAGTTTTACCGCTATGGGGGTCCCGTCAAACCACCGAAATACTAAGCAAAGTCGATCTATCCAACAAAAATATACCGTAGGATACCTGCATATATGTTACAGTACTTGATTTCACATTAGTATCATGCAGGAGCATAGTGAGTTTCTGCCATATTTAAGTATAAATCAGCCCTTGTAAAGAAGAGTTGAGGGCTGCCATGCTTTCATCTACCGCCTCTATAATAGTTAGTCATATGTGATAGAAAATATACTTCTTAAGGCAAATATTTTCAGCAGTAAGTCTTTCGTATTGCCATCAGGGAGGCAAAATAATAATCTAAGAATGAAGGGCTTGATTAAGAAAGAGATGTATCAATAAGTTAACTTTAAATAATGTTCTTCAAAAGGCAATACAAAGGCATGTATCTGTTTGCAGAATAGGAAACGAATCCTCACTGATGATCAAAATGTGGCGCCCACAGGTCCACTATTCTGGACCACTGGTTTAAAAGGACGTTTTCTCACTTTGCTAAACTGAATCTCCTGTTGCATAATTTAGGAGTTGTTGGTGTCAGCGGTGAAAGCATACACCACCGCTGTCACGAAGCTCAAAGAATATTTAGCAACTCTTCCTCACATTTCTCAGCAACTTACTCTAAAAATGTCTCATTTCTCATTCCAGAGCAACTGATACTGAGATGATCTGAGCACAACAGACTCTAACTTCATGCTAACGTTACGCCAGTAAAGTGAGGAGAAGATTTTTTTTTTGTGTGTGTTGTTTGCTGACATAATTATGAGACCTGATTACACTGTTGGCTTTTAACTAGTCAACTCTTGTGCTAGTAAAACCCACGTCTATTTGTGATCAAGTCCACTGATTCCTAAAGAGACCTCTACAACATTATTTTAGACATTTTTTTCCAACTTCAGCGTTTTTGCTTGCCCACCATACAGGGCTGAGAACGGGGGGGGGGAGGGATCTGTTTGTTTGTGCCATCTGCCCATTCAAAGCAACAGCAGGATGAAGAGGTAGAGTGGGAGCAGGAGGTTGTCTATTTGGGAGGTGTAGGCTTCCAACATGGCCACCAGAGTGATGGAGCCAACAATCCATGAGTAGGTAGAGTTCAGATTGATGCTCCCATCAAAGATGAGAAACATGGCCACGGCGATGATCTGAGCAAACACCGATGTTGCAGTCCCCTCCATGGTTTTCTTAGTGCCGGGCCAGCGGATCTCCCCCATGGTGCTGCCAAACACAGACGCCACAGTGTCTCCGACCCCCACAGCGAGCACACCTGCATAGGGCACCAGGCCGCCTGCCCCAGGGAGAATCCCCTTTGGTGCACAGGGCCCAGGAAACAGCCAAATGGGCAGAGACATGCCCAGCAGCAGGTAAACGTGGGTGAGGATGAGAGGCCCCGAGTCCCGTTCATCCAGGAACAAGGTGAGCAGCTGCCTGAGCAGCTGACCGAGAGGCCTGATTCTAAAGTAACGCACGTATTCCAGGAACAAGAAAATCGCCAAGCAACCCACGGAGGCCACATGGAGCAGCTGCCGGTCGTATATCAGCCCTGGAACGTACGTGGCCACGACAATCAGATGGAAGTACTTCCTGACAACAGTCGAGGCCTGGTGCTTCTTGGACCCCGACTGGCGCTGATAGTTCTGATGTAACACAACAAAAGTGGCCACGACAGCCAGGAACACCCAGTACCCCAGCAGACAGAGTCTTCTGTCATTGAACGTAACAAAGTCCAGCAGCCACATGAGGGGATGCCGGCCGATGAACAAGGAAAGCCACGGCATCAGGATCCCCAGACCCAGAACCGCTGTCATCATATGAAAGAAAAGTGATGACACCCAAGTCTCTGACTCCATGAAGCAGAAGAGCAGCGCAAAGAAAACCCCCAACAACAGTGACCCCACCACTACAACCGGCAGGAAGTAGTTCACTGGATCTCCTTTCACCTCTGCCAGGTTCAGGGAGCGCTTGATGAGCTGGTTCACAATGAAACTGATTCCACCGACGATGAGAAGCGCCTCTCCGGGCGTGAAGCAGCGCGGCAGCAAGTAAAGCACAATCAGACTGAGATAGACGAAGATCAACAGGACCTCTAAGACCTCGATGACCTCAGACACGGTCAGCGTCTGCTTTGTCGTGTAGAGAATCGCACTGCCGGCCATTCCTGCAATCACACAAGTGTTGGTGGGGACGGGTCTTGTGATGCCCAGCGCAATCAGGGAGAGAAACAGAGCCAGCATCATGCCTGTGATGGTGACCACCATGGAGAAGCGCTCAAAGTAGACATTCCCTGAGGCGGAGCACTTTTCTCTCAGCGCCAGGCCCAATAAAGGCATCACCATGGAGGCTGGAACGATGCCGCTGTTTGCTGTTGGACGAAACTGGAACACGGCGCCCCCCGACCTGAGCAGGCGGTCCCACTTGTGCTGCACGTAGAACGCCTGAATGACGAGGGCGATGCTGCACCAGGAGTGCTGGTTCCACACCGCCATGTGGACACACAACACCACCGCCAGAACTACAGTGGACTCCACGTACACCGGGTTGATATGCATGGCTGCCGGGTGGGGGCTCACAGGGAGGGAGGAGGAGGAGGAGGAGGAGGCGGGTGGATCTGAACAGATGGTCTGCAACAATGAAGGCCTTCTTCTGTCAGTTCCTCTCTCTGGCACACTTCATCATTTGGCAGGTACTTTTCCCTTGCTGTGGATGTCTAAAAAAAAGAAGAAAGGAAGATAAGTCAGTCTACCATTCATGAGAAAATACACAATTCAGCACAAAATACAACAACAAATGATATTTAGGGATGCACAGCATATTGCTGAGTGCTTATGTGCAAGAAGTGCAGTATGAAATAAGGCAACGTGTCTCAAACACATCATGCTACAACCTTTTTGCTCACGTTGCTCTTATTTCCGATGACTAACGCACAAAACAATTCTGTCTAGTAGAACATGTTTTACTCTCAGTTAAAGGTTCTTGGAGCTTTTTTTTTAAACTCACGTGACAGGACAGAGTTTGTTGACATGCAGGCTCCAAATGTACACAATACGAAATGAGCGAGGACCCGAAAAAAACACTGAAAAGAAGAATCTGGTTGCAAAATGTTGAAGCAAACAGCCACTGGATCAGAAGCGTTTCTTTAAATTGCTGCTACTACACAAGGCAACACAACTAATTCAAGTCAGCACCGCAAAAGTCTGCATGATTGCAAAACCAGATCTGAATGTCATCCAAACAGAAAAAAACGGGATATCTTTGCCAGTTACACCATATGCGAAAGGTTCTAAATAGCTTTTTAAATATGATTTTTTCTTTGATGCAGAGAGCGCTCCTCTATTAAATCACTGCAGTCAGTCTACAATTATTAATTCTTCCTATATTAAGATTTTCTGATCAATATTTCTGTAGTTTTTCACACTGCAGTAAAAATCACTTTGTCATTTTTTTCCCCAATGTCATGCAGTCCTACCAAAAAATCCCCGGCACTCCTGTATCCAGCACTGTGTTTGAGGCTGAGTCATTTGCCCTCCTTGCCACTCTGAACCTTGGTCCTGCTTTATCTGCTCCCTACACTGAACTATGGCCACACTGAGCATTTAGCCAATCTGTGTGAAATTCACACCACCATCTGAACACGTGTATGAAGCCCAGGAGAAACGCATGTTCTTTCCACATCAGCTGCAACCTTTTGTTCCTGTGGGGGTTGGAGGTTAGAACTGACCGTCCAAGTGTCCTGGATCTACTCTGGAGGCTGAGATTAGCACTCGATTCAGTGAAAAAGACAAAAAAAATGTATAATTTCTGACATCGAGACATTTATTGCTGATACAGCCCGATGCGGTCAGCTAACCCTCAGTGAGGCGAGGATGCTGCAGCCTCGGACAGCATCAAGCTAACAGCGAAATGCAGCTGAGTGGACCGAGTTAGCACCGCGACACTGAGCGCACTCAGCCGGCGGTGCGGGAATGAAACGCGGGCTGACAAAGACGAGCGGACTCACCACATAAGTGCAGCGTTGTCTGGACGAAGCTGTGCTGAGATTTGAATCGCTGCCGTCCTTTCTGGACACAGTTCTTTCCTTTGTCAGCTGTCGCTCCTCTCACACCCAGTAGGAAGGGGCCATGTTTGACAGCCGGGTCACGTGGTGCACTCGTAAAAATAACTCTTAAAGGCGAGTTTCCTCCCATAGTTTATTCTTATATTAAATTAATAGTACAGTTTTTCTGAGAGAAGTAATATACTGTAGATTAAACACGCATTTTGGCTAACATTTTGCCCCAATAATAATAATAATAATAATAATAATAATAACAACATTATTTATTTGCACTTTAACAGACAACGCAAAAGCAGGATATCCAGACGAAATTTACATGAAGTTACATAAAATAATTACAATATTATCAATAATGCAAATTTGTCTGACTAAATTAAAAATTAATGTTAAGGTCCTATAGTTTATGTCAATTTACCTGCGTAGGTTAAGTATTCCGATTAAGCTGAGTAAAGCAAATATTAAAGTCAAGACCCTACAATATAAAGTAAAATACAAATTTATCTGAGTAAATTAAATATTAAGGTTAAAAGCCTTTAGTAATATGTATTATTTAAATTTAGACGGGGTATATTGCGGTGAAGAGCCAAGAATGTTCTTAATTATAAATATTTCCCTGAGTAAGTTAAATATTAAGGTTAAGACCCTACGTTATTATATAAAATACAAATTTACCCGACTAAATTAAATGCTAGGATTGAGACCTTACAATCTTCTCAATTGTACATTTCTACCTAAGTAAAATAAATATTAAACTTAAAACTCTATGGTATTATTTATTATTTAAATTTGCCCTTATAAGGTAAATACTGCCATTAAGACAATTTAATTTTATGCAAAATGTGCCTGATTTAATTAAATATAGAGGTTGAGACTCTACAATGTTGTTTCTAATGTAAATGTACCCAACCAGATTATATACTAAGACTCAGCATTATTTATTATGTAGATTGATCTGTGCTGTGAAATATCACATTTAAGACCCTACAACATTCCATAAAACACAAATTTAAGTGACTAAATTAAGTACTAATGTTATAACTGTATATTATTACATACTATAAACTAACCTGACTAACTTACATGTTAAGGTCAGTAACCTACAACATTATAATCTATAACAAATTGCCTGTCTAACTCAAAAATAAAGGTTAAAACAATACAAAAATTATATACTGGAAACCCAACGTGTCCAAAGATTCCTGATGAGCAGCACATTGGTGACAGTGGAGAGGAAAAACTTCCTTTTAACAGGAACAACGAACACTGTAGAGGCTGGTGGGACAAGTAGCTGCAGATCAAACCTGTGCAGCTCCAGAGCCAGAAGTACCAGCAGAGAGATTGTGGGAGAGAGAGGACATAAAGTTAATAACGTGCTGTAGTGCATATAAATACATGGTGGAAATGACAATTTCTAAGAACTCGAGTATAATTGCAATATAGCTAAAGTCATAAATAAATCCTACATGGAACCATAATTAAATTAGATGGGTTATATGGGCTGAATACAAGACAGAAGTTAATTATTTCAATTTTGTTTAAAATTGTGTAGAACATTTTAGTGGAGGATGTGACACTACTATTTTACAGTCTAGATGGCAGTAGAGTACTACAGGGATTCAAACATCTCACGAAGAAGAACATTACGACACCAACGAAGAAGAACGAGCCTACGACTGCGATGACGACAAATCATAATAGCCAATCATATGGCAGAAGCGAAGATGGCGGAATCGGAGATGAGCGTCAGGTAGGCTCATAGCAACAAACTTTAACGTTCACATTGTTCGAGTCACTTTTCACGTATTTCTTAGTGAGTAAGCACTTCTACGCAACGAGGCTGTTTGTTCGGTGTGATGAACAGTCACGTTTACATTTGACGGCTTGTCTTTTGCCCTGTTAGCACCACGCTAACTTAGCTTAGCAAGTGCTAACAGCTAAACATTTGAATGGCTTTTCAGCAGCGCGGTGTGCCAGCCGCATGTCAACAACAGCATGACACCTATGTGAGCTTTTAGGGTTAGTTAGTCATATAAGTCTGGTAATTCAACTAAAGGCACTTTGTTTATGTCGAGATAAAGTGCTTTTCAGTTAGCGCCAACAACCGCCGCGATTCGTCACTGGTCAGTTAGTTGGTAATAATGGGAAGCTAAAGCTACTATTTGGACATGGACAGGACAATTGCTAAGTTAGCTAAGATTATTTGTATGAGAAATATCTCCCGCATTTTCGCTGTTTGACCTACAAGCTAAAACTAACTCGGCCCTCAGCCTGTTGTTAATCACATTAGCTAATTTCTCACAGGCTGATAATTTGAACTAACATTTTAATATATACAATAAATAATGGTCAACGGAGATGTAACAGTGAACAGGGGTTTAAAATGAATCTATACATATCGGAATCTGTTTCAAAGTGCACAACAACACAATCCACAGTCAGTCGGTCATATTAGGAGTTTTTGCACGTAAATGTGTAAGTACACGTTTCATTAGTTGTTAACTGCGTGTAATAACAAAGTCTAGTGCTCAGGTAAATTCACATTAAATTCATAATGACAATCTTATTTCTCTACTGCAAAATACTTTAGCTCAGCAGCTGTTGCTTTGAATGTCCAATATAAATATCTGTAACTAGACTGATGTTGTCATGTTGCCTTTTTGCTTTGTCTTATTGTTTATCTTTATCTAATTGATGTTATGTTGCCTTTGGGCACGATTGTTTTTAAAAGTGTTATATAAATCCAGTTATACTTTTTAAGACATTTGTGTAGACAAAAAACTGTAGTTATTTCTTTTAGGTTTAACTTGACAAATCAAGATACTTATCAGAGATCTTGAAAGAATTGCTTTAACAGTATATATAGCATCAAACAATCTCTGACAGTCTACTGATTCATATTTTCCAAATGTATATTTTCACATTGACCAACTTTATTCTGTTTATTAGAGAAAATTGTGTTTTAACACACAATGAACTGATACTTTTCTATGTATACCGCCATGTATTAATGCAGCACCGTGTACACTTTATTGCCAATTATCACTGCTAAAATATACCTATCTTTTTCTTTTTTTTTCTAGAAGTTGTCGAGAATTATGGACCATACTGCTGGGGAGGTCGGCATTGAGAGAGCCGGTATGTCTTCTTCCCGCTTGTTGTACTTCACAGTATATCTCGTTGCTCTGTACTTGTGACATCTGCAATGACAATAAATTGCTAATTGATTGATTGATTGATTGATTGATTGATTGATTGATTGATTGATTATATGTAGAAGTATTCAGGACTGTTGTTCCAAAGCAAGGAAATGGATCAATCAGTCATTTTAAAGTACTTCTGAAGCCTTTGACACTTCTATAGAAAATGATTTTCTCTTTTGTTATTATTGTTTGATGACCACAGGCTCAAATAGATGCAGAACTTGACAGACACTGGGACAGACTGCATCAAGGACTCAGCTACTACAAGCCACCCAGGTAAAGTTACAGTTGCTTTTGTATATATTATGCACACTGTTGTTCATAACTAAAAAGTAATTGTCAGCATTGCCTGTTTTAGCTCCTCTTCTGCTGGGAAAGTGAAGGAGAACAAAGATGTTGCACAACCATTGAAGGACTTTGGTCTGAGGATCAGTAAACTATTGGTAAGAATTAAAACTGTTTTTTTCCCCTTTTTTTTCTGTAACATGTGATTTGCTATATTCAATTGTTGGTAGTGCATGTCATGGTGATTTGATACTGACTTATTGTTTTGATGGTGTTATAGAGCCTTGATGAGCAGCAGAGTGTGCAGCTTTTACAGTGCTATCTACAGGAGGACTACCGAGGAACCCGTGATTCATTAAAGGTGTCTGTTGTCACTCGTATATTTTTCTTTTTAATTGCACTGGAGTCTGTGTCTGTAATCTTGGGCAGCGTTTTACTATAGTTTTTGAGTTTTCAGTGAGAATCTGTTTTGTGAATGAGATTTAATAATGCAGTGCAGTTAAGGTTTTTTTTTTTTTTTAAAGAAAAAACTGCAAAGATTGTAGAAAGAGAAAATGAGATCTATTCAAACACTGGATAACAGAGTCTTCTATGCAGGTTGTTCTCAAGGATGAGCGCCAGAGCCAGGCTCTGCTGCTAAAGGTCAGTACAACCATTTACGTTTACTGATTTTTGAACCAGAGAGCAGTTACACCTTCCGTATTTAATCCAGTTGGTGTGAGTACCTGTTATTTGTTTTCACAGATTGCTGACTATTACTATGAGGAGCGCATGTGTCTGCTTAGATGTGTCCTCCTCCTGCTGACATACTTTCAGGATGAGCGGCATCCCTACAGGGTAAGAAGCAGCTGCACTTGTATTACATCAGATAATTGAAGAACACAGCTTTAATATTAATCAAGCGTTTCTCGCTAAAAAATTGTTTATTTGTTGTTGGTTCTGTAATGCAACCTCAGGTGTGTTTGTTCTTTGTTTAGGCTGAGTACAGTAACTGTGTTAATAAGCTGGAGAAGGACCTGGTGAGCAAATACCAGTCACAGTTTGAAAATCTCTTCAAGGCAGAGGCACCAACATGGGAAACTCACGGAAACCTCATGGTGATAACACAAGCTTGTTTCATATTTGGTTCATGTACTGCCTTTTGTACCCTTAATATTAGTCACATTTTTAGTGTATGACTTGAAGGTCATAACTGCCTGTTTCTGTTTTCTTCCTCTTGTTTGTCAGACGGAGAGGCAGGTGTCACGATGGTTCTTGCAGTGTCTGAGAGAACAGTCTCTGCTGCTGGAGATCATATTTTTGTATTATGCGTATTTTGAGATGAGCTCATCTGACCTGCTGAGCTTTACCAAAATGTTTAAAGAACAAGGCTTTGGTTTGCGGCAGACCAACAGACACCTTGTAGACAAGAGCATGGATGCGCTGGTTGACCGGATCGGGTAAGTGCATGTAACAGACTTTTTTGTTGGTGTTGTTTTAGAGTTTATAAGTTGGATGTGTTACCGTTATGTGACTTTGGTTAAAAACTAAGAATGCACTGACATGCACAGGAAATTGAGCAGATGGAACATACTTCTGTTAATGGTAACAAAATGCTCAGCAGTAAGGTAGTTGGT